AGGTGTAAATTTTTTCGCTTCGAATAATACTATGTTCCCATTTTGTTTACCAGTGGTTCGCGTATATGCAAAAGACTTTGAAAAAACCGTGCATCATAAGGTCGTCGCGTAACAACATAAATCAAAACATAAAATTTACTCTACGTTGTTTCAAATTTTTTCCACGCAAGAAGAGTACAAGTTATAAAACTGCGGAATACCTAATGCATCGTTAGTTCGGCCTGAGCGAAACAACGCTGGATTCGAGCTTTTTTTCATTCCGAAAATAGTGAACCGAAGCACGCGATTAGGCGTTCGTCAAAGCTCTATAACCTTTACGGCGTTTGTTTTATTTTTCTTTGGACTCGCGGAATCCGCATCCGCTAGAGAAAGAGATTATCACAGACCCAGAGAGCAGCACGGCGCATTGCTCCACGGAAATGCTATATTTATAAATATTCAAGAAGATTTTTCTGTCTCTCTCCCCTCCTACCCGAGTCGAGCTAAATAATACCGACTAGTCGTGTGCTAGATTTGTCAACGAAGCACGTCAGAGCCGGTTACGCTGCACAATATAAACCAGAATCGACCAGAAGCAATTACTTCTTCGGACAAATTAATCTTTCGTTCGTTTTTTTTCGGCGAGAGCAGGGAAAAAAGAGGGAAATTTATCAGCGAAAGTCGAGAAACGATGCAAAACAATCATCGACGCGCTCGTTCGCGACCAAGTTTGCCGAGCGCAAAAAACTTTGCTCGTGTGTGCACTACATAGCCCATATATTAATGCCAGGATGACGCTGCTTTCTCAGCAATTGTGGCCTTCTGTTTGTGCTCGCACCTCCCGTATATACGTACGTATATACCTATGTATACACGTGTATAGAGCCGCTTTCAGGGTTGTAAGAACGAGGGGGTTGCGTAACAGCGTCGTCTTATGCATTCGTATACACTGGCACACCGCAGCACAGCGGCAACCTGGTGCAACTCTATACACACTCGTGCTGCTCGTACTTTGACCTTTTTTCCTACCTAGGGCTGCATACGTACACGGAATTTCTTAGCGTTCTTTTTTTCTTCGTATACCGTATAAAAGCGCCCGGCTACTTGTGCGAGCGGCAAAAGGATGGAAGGGCTGCAGGTTATGACGACGTGTGCCACATTTCTTCTCGCTTCCAAGCGGTATTATTTTTTGTCGCTCGAAACTTGGCTCGGTAAAAAAAATTTTTTCACTCTTCGACTATGAATTTTGGAATTTTTTCCGATCGCGTTACGCTTCGAACTTCATCGTTGTATTATTCGCAAAAGTAAAATACATCGCGCTTGCAGATAGAGCTGTGGCGCAAATATATAAGCGTAAATTTCGAACCCGCGTCTGACCAATGATTGTCTGATCTACTTATACGCGCATCTATTGTGTTGCCGGCGAGCGAGTCTTATCGTCGATACACACGAACACATCTCGTACGTATAGCTTATATGCATAGACGTATGAATTTGCCGTAGCTAACAAAACTTGTTTATGGGCTTTTGAACTTGTTATCTGCCAACTCGTCTCGTCCCCATTGTCAGCATCGAAGCTCGATTTTCGAAGAAAAGTTGCGCATTCTCTCTCTCTCTCTATCGCTCTCTTTGACACATGAAAAAGAGCATCTGTATCCACGAGTAGAACTTGCGCGTGTGCTACGGTCGACAAAAGTACAGCCGCGCGCGCATCTTTTCATGTATAACGTCGGTGGCGGCAGCGTCGGGTCGCGTCTACGAGATATGCAATCGTAAAAAAGTCGAGACCTTCGTCTCATCGACGTCGTCGTCGTCGTCGTCGTGCGCGATATTATGACGCTTGTAAGAGGCCATTACGTACCTAGAGGAGGCATCTTGCTCAGAGTCGCTATCAATCGCTTCATGCTCCGCGTGACCCGTTCAAATCGAGGCCTGAGCGGAAGCGCACTCGATTACCTAACTCGTAGGCAGCTCTCTCGGCAGCTGCCGCCGTGCTAGCCGTCTCTATATCCATGTACGACGTGCGAATGCAGACAGATGAGCAGTTGCATTAATAATCGTTTGAGCTCAATGTCGCGCTCGATTCTATTCCATCTGCAAATATCTAGATACGCGCGATGGAAGATTCGCTAGCTTTTCATTATCCGAGCTTTCGAGTCTACGAGCTTTTTTCATCCATCAATCGTCGTAGGTGCATCGCATTGAAATTTCACAACGATTAATCGATTCGTTCAACTTGCGTTTACACAAATTTGCTGTAAAATTGATTTTACGAGGGATTTTTCTATAACAGATCGAGTATGTGTGCTCGTGTGAGCCACTCATACAAAAACTTTTTTCACACTAAATAATTTATTCTATAAAGTTTTTCCACAAACCAAATGCGAGAAATCAAGTTAAAATACTAGAGTCTATTGAAAGTAACTTATTTATCCCAAGTAACCAGCATGTGTTTTACCCTATTACTTGTAAGTAACTTTTATACATCACCCGTAGCATTAGCTGAATTATTACTTGCACTTGAAGCGTGTAGCATAAGTTGAATCGCCAAGTTCTTGCGAAATCGATTTTTTGCTCCTGCGCCAGTGAGCTTCAAAGCTAACTTACTGTTTTGACGAGCTCGAGACACGTGAAAAGCAGCGGTTCTTGCTCGAACCGCTCGTCAATCGTAAAATTACTTCTAATCGATAGTTATAAGCAACTACTTCAATCAATCTTGCAGGACTATCGACGCTCACTTACACACAAATGCACACACGCCCACTCGAAAAAACTCAGACATCATAGTACACACTACATCACCCATATTCATGGATGAAACAATTTTTTATGAATCATTTAATTTACAATTTTATTATACATGATAAATATTATTTTGATATTATTTTGTTGAAACGATTCTCATCGAGTCATTATGTCATGGTCTGCGTTCATAATTGTTCGTTGTGCACGCCGTCCCACGACGTTTTCTTTTTTTACAACAGCATGGCCGTTCGGACTCGTACAGGGTGGCCACATTGCCAGGCATCCGCGATGACAACAAAACAGCCGATGGGATGTACAAGGTATAAATGCAGCAGCAGCAGCGGCGGCGGCGACGGCAGAAAGCTCGACTTGCAAAGCACGAGCTTCGCTCGCTCGCTCGCTAGCTAGCTCTCTACGTGTGTTGGTGTGGCTTGGTTCGTTGGTCTAAGGAAGGGCTTCTCAAGCTCGTTCGCGTGTGTTGTTCTCTCTCTTTCTCTCTCTCTCTCTTGTGTACTACCTCTCTGTATGACTTGGACGCTTTCCTACCTACATGTATACAATGATGCATAATCCTCTCGCTCTACTTATTCGTCTTTCTTTCTCTCTTTCTCTCTGTGCCATCTTTTCTTTGGCTGCATATAGAGACATTGTACGTAGAGAGACTCTCTCTCTCTCTCTCTTTCTCTTTCTATACGTGCCTATTTTTCTCTCTTTTTCTCTTGTACTCACTCACTTTTTTCAAGAACTTGTGTGTTGGTGTATACTGGGATATGCATATACATGCGCACACACTCATACTTCAACGGTAAATAAACGCGCGCGGTCTTTGACTTTTCCCTCTCTCTCTCTCTCTCTCTGGCTCTTTTTCTCTCCGCGTGTGCAATGGTTTTTCTACGTTTTTTCTCTTTGCTCATTCCTCGTCTATTCTCTTTTCGCTAGATTTTATTTGCCAACTTCGCTCTTGGTTATGACTATTCTAATTTGGCCTATGGTGTTGGAATTTCTGCAACCACAACTAATGCGCATGAACTATATTCCTTCTTCATACACTTGAAAGCTCGACTATTTTTTGCTCAACAAGTTAATTCAAACACGTACAAGAGCGTCGACATTCATTTTTTTTCTATTACTTCAAATGCGTAAACGTTCAAATGAACTTGCTATTAGTTTGTAAACTATTACACGTCCGTTTTCGACGCTAATCGTGAAGAGCTATAGTTTACTTTGACGAGAGTGAATCTTGCAAAGTCAATAACGCAAGCACAAAAAACGGATGTTCAAATTATCCGCTTTACCGCGCATTTTACGTTCTTTCCTACTGTTCGATTACACTCTTTTTTGTGCGTTACTGGCACCATCGAATCTAAACTTTATCGAAAATCTCGGAATCTCATTTACTAATAATTCAACATGACTTTTCTGGCGCAGTATTTTACAGGCTTGACGACTATGTGTAATCTCTACTTGGCAAACATAACCGGAGAGCTGCTGATCTCATTAATTTTCATACTCATACTTACAATCACGTATCTTTTTTGTTTTGTTTTTTTGCGCACAAATATTATACATGCATTACTAATCATTAAAATAAGAAAACTCACAATATGGTGTCATGGAACCATGTAACAAATAAAAATTATACTATACAATTAAATCATTACAAACATATAACGCATTAATATTGGTAATAGGTCATTGCTAATCGGTAATTGGAAAAGTGTCGGCTGTCGTAGTGGCTCGATCGTAATGCCAACAACGAGAGGAACGCTATAGTGTTTATAAAAATATCATTGTAACGAATAGATGGTCGTTGCGTACTGCAAACAAATCGCGCACAACGATTATGTTAATATAGCTTCACGATCGAGATCTGATCGATGCACCACGCGTCAGCGTCGGTGAGATAATAACGCAACGCGTGCAGTTCATTTCTTGGGCAAATTTCACGTATGCCTGGTCAAAAAGCTGCTGATATTGCACGACGCAAATTGAGAGCCGTTAAGTCAATGCCAAAATTTGCCTAAAATGTAAATGAAACGAATTTATAAAGCGCATCCTCTCGACGGCAACGTCGCAATATTTCGAGCCTGGCTTCTCAATTTAAAATTTAAAATTTTCCAGCGAGAGTAAAACGAAATTTAACCCTTTAAAACATAAAAGTAATATAACCAGTAGCTCATTTAATATGTAAAAAAAATAACTCTCTACGTAGAAAAAAAAACGTACAAAAATCATTTCGAGCAAATTCTAATTCTCGCTTGTGATCTATTTTGCAGTCGCGGCGGAGGGCCCCGAAAAGGGGAGGTAACCTCGATGAGCTCAAACAGGAGCTTGTCATCGACTTTCACAAGATCAGCCCAGAGGAGCTGTACCAGAGATTTCAGACACATCCAGAAAACGTTAGTACAGAACTATGATACATTAATACGAGTCTCGATGAGCACTTTTTCGTACAACGGAACGTAAAATAACATCGCATCTCGTTACAGGGCCTGAGTCATGCGAAGGCTAAGGAGAATCTGGAACGTGACGGGCCCAATGCCCTCACCCCACCGAAAACGACGCCCGAGTGGGTGAAATTCTGCAAGAATCTGTTCGGTGGCTTCGCCCTTCTACTCTGGATCGGTGCGATTCTCTGCTTCATCGCTTACGGTATCGTCGCCTCGACGTCCGAGGATCCCAACGACGACAATCTTTACTTGGGTATTGTCTTGACGGCCGTCGTCATCGTTACCGGCATCTTCTCGTACTACCAGGAGAGCAAGTCCAGCAAAATCATGGAATCGTTCAAGAACATGGTCCCTCAATTCGCCACCGTCATTCGTGAAGGTGAAAAATTGACCCTGAAAGCTGAAGACTTAGTCCTTGGCGACGTCGTCGAGGTCAAGTTCGGCGACAGGATTCCCGCGGATCTGAGGATCATCGAATCGCGAGGTTTTAAGGTGAGTACATCGCGCTCTACATACGCACTCGGTAATACGCACCTCCCGGGAGATCGGGCTATTTGTGCCAACAATAAATTCTCCAAACAAGCGCGAAAGTTTCTTCTCTTTGTGGCAGTCGGGCTTTTGTAAGAGTAGACTTTCCAGCGGATCTTTTTTGCACAAGTTAAAAAAGACATTTTACGCACACACACACACATGCAATAGAATCGGTGGAAAGCGAACAAAAGTTGGCGTAAGCCATCTTTTGAACTACTTTACCCGCACTGTCTAACTTGGAAAATAATACCTTTTTCTCTTAGGAAGAAAAGAAGCTAAGAGGCCGCGCTCCGTTCAAAGTTTGGGCGAGCGCGGCCGTTGCGTAACATTTTTACATCGATAAAAACATGTCTCTCTCGTTGGAAGAAAGTATAAGCTAAAGAGAATGTTGTTGTTTTTGTGCGAGCGCAGGTAGACAACAGCTCGTTGACCGGAGAATCCGAGCCTCAGTCCAGGTCGCCCGACTTTACGCACGAAAATCCGCTGGAATCCAAGAACCTCGCCTTCTTCTCGACGAACGCCGTCGAGGGCACGGCTAAGGGTGTGGTGATCTGCTGTGGCGATCAGACGGCGATGGGACGGATAGCCGGTCTGGCATCCGGCCTTGATACCGGTGAAACGCCGATCGCCAAGGAGATCCACCACTTCATTCACCTGATCACTGGCGTGGCCGTATTCCTGGGCGTGACCTTCTTCATCATCGCCTTCATCCTCGGCTACCACTGGCTCGACGCCGTCATCTTCCTCATCGGCATCATCGTGGCCAACGTGCCCGAGGGTCTGCTGGCCACCGTCACCGTATGCCTGACCCTCACGGCCAAGCGCATGGCGTCCAAGAACTGCCTCGTGAAGAACCTCGAGGCCGTCGAGACCCTCGGCTCCACGTCGACCATCTGCTCCGACAAGACCGGCACGCTCACCCAGAATCGTATGACCGTTGCGCACATGTGGTTCGATAATCAGATCATCGAAGCCGACACCACCGAAGACCAGTCTGGCGTGCAGTACGACCGTACCTCGCCAGGCTTCAAAGCACTCGCGAAGATCGCTACCCTGTGCAACCGTGCCGAATTCAAGGGCGGACAGGACGGTGTGCCGATCCTCAAACGTGAGGTCAATGGTGACGCCTCTGAAGCGGCACTCCTCAAATGTATGGAGCTCGCTCTTGGCGATGTCATGGGCATTCGTAAGCGCAACAAGAAGGTCTGCGAAATTCCATTCAATTCCACCAACAAGTATCAGGTAAGCTCGGACTTGCACTGTATAGCGCTCGCTGCGGCAGCACGACTTACGCATTTTACTTACTTACCCTTTTTTTTTGTAGGTATCTATTCACGAGTCCGAGGATCCCAGCGATCCTCGCCACTTGTTGGTGATGAAGGGCGCTCCCGAGCGTATCCTCGAGCGCTGCTCTACGATCTTCATCGGAGGTAAGGAAAAAGTGCTCGACGAGGAGATGAAGGAGGCATTCAACAGTGCCTACCTCGAGCTCGGAGGTCTGGGTGAGCGTGTGCTCGGTTTCTGCGACTTTGTCCTGCCGACCGACAAGTTCCCGCTTGGCTACAAGTTCAACTGCGACGATCCCAACTTCCCCGTGGAAGGACTGCGCTTCGTTGGCCTCATGTCGATGATCGATCCTCCGCGTGCCGCTGTACCTGACGCCGTGGCCAAGTGCCGCTCGGCTGGTATCAAGGTCATCATGGTCACCGGTGACCATCCGATCACTGCCAAAGCCATTGCCAAATCCGTCGGCATCATCTCCGAAGGTACGTTTCGCTCTCGTCCTCCCCAATTTCAGGGCTGCTTCAATGTTTATATATCTATTTATTTTATATCTATATGTAATTTCATTTATAATCTCTGTAACTCTATTCAAATGATCTGTGTACACATGATACCTAAATTATTTGCTCGGAGAGTTTTGTCCGTTTTCCTATCAATATACCTCTAGATTTTGTTTACCTTTGCTCAGGTTTAGTATACAGTAAGTTCGCTGCATTCAGTGGATGCTGCAAACTTACTGCATTAGTTCACCTGATCACACGTAAACTGCGCCGCGAAGATATCTCAGGGCGTAGAAATGCGTGTATTATTACCACTAAACAACTTGAAAAGTGACTATTCAAAGTCAATATTATTTAACAGTAAAACGGAATATTTTTCATACATACTGTATGGAGATTTTGAATTTTGATGAATAATGTACACAACTCTCTTGGCGAACTTACGCGTATTTTCGCGTAAAAGGACAAGGGATTATACAGACACAAAGAAATACGCAGTAAAAAAAATTTGCTACGCAAGGTCAGCCGAGTGTCTACTGTTGGTTTCAAAGCTCATAGTTGACAGATGAGTTTGTTCGTCCATAGTAAAACCCATACATCACGGTAAAGCCTATTTGCCATGATGCATGCCTTAGATGATGTTTCTCGAACCAACACAGATGCGTGAGCAAACTTTTCGTAACGGATTCTTTTTACTGCGCCGCCGTATATCATTATTAAGATACGGCAAAAAAGTAATAAAACTTTAATATAACTTTGCCTACGTCTGTAAAATCTCGCCGCTGTCTGACCAATAGAACTAATATACACATTTTTAATAATATTTCTCTATGTTTATTCATGTTATAAGAGCGATGTATACAGCTATCTTCTGTGTATTACTTTATCTGTGTTCTCTGTTCTTCTATGCTATTTTGTTGATTAAAAACACGATTAATAACAAAACAAAAAAAAACTATTATGAAAATCATATAAACAAAGGTAAAATTCCATTATTCTGCATAAAAGCTTCGTAGTTTGTAGCTTGAGGAAATCAACTCAAATGTTTTCTCCGCTTTCCAGTTTTCATTAGTGCTCTTTAGATGCTCACTTGAATACTCGAATATGACAATAGACTTTAAATCTAAAAATGTTTCAGCAATCGAGTAATCAAATGTTAGTAAAAATAGCAGATATGTCACATTTATTCGCATAAGAAAGTGCTTGACAAAATCTAATCGTGTGATTTCGAGTTCAAAATACAAGTTGTAGCGTAAGCACAACTAAACGAACGCGAATGCTTGTCGAGAGCTTTTTTCGAGTGAGTTCATGAATTGTTCCATTGAAATAATCGATCGACCGTTGATACAGGTAACGAAACCGTCGAAGACATCGCAGCGCGATTGAGCATCCCTGTGTCAGAGGTGAATCCACGCGACGCCAAGGCCGCCGTTGTGCACGGTACCGAGCTCAGGGAACTCGGCCAAGACGCTCTCGACGACATACTCAGGTACCACACCGAAATTGTGTTCGCCCGTACGTCACCGCAGCAGAAGCTCATCATCGTCGAAGGTTGTCAACGAATGGGTGCCATCGTCGCCGTAACAGGTAAAGACCGACAGCACTTGTTATATTCCACATGCATCGTCCACAAGCAGACAAGGTCTTGCAGAGTCTAGCTGTCGAGCAAAAATTCCTATGCACCGAGCTATTATCGTGAGCCGAGCGTATCAAATCATCTTATCAGCACGTCTATAAAGTTAGCCTAATAAAAGACAGCGGCGGCTCGTCGTCGCAAGTGCGAATTGCTCGTGAAAGAGACTGTGCAAAATGCATATACACGTGATGTTATCGTATACGCTTGTAATAATGTTTATACGAATGTGACCCTCTCTAGGTGACGGTGTCAACGACTCGCCAGCCCTGAAGAAGGCAGACATCGGTGTGGCTATGGGTATCGCCGGCTCGGACGTGTCCAAACAAGCAGCTGACATGATTTTGCTCGACGACAACTTCGCCTCGATCGTCACCGGTGTCGAGGAGGGTCGCTTGATCTTCGACAACTTGAAGAAATCTATCGCGTACACACTTACGTCCAACATCCCCGAGATCTCGCCATTCTTGGCATTCATCATTTGTGACATTCCTCTGCCACTCGGCACTGTTACCATCCTCTGCATCGATCTGGGTACCGACATGGTGAGTCATCCCTAAGCCTTTTCAAGCCAAGCGCTCTCTACTTTTATCGATAAGAATTTTCATAAACCATTATTACACATATGAACAAATCCCATACTGATTCACTGGTCGCGCGAGCGCATTACATGAGCAGTTTTTTACAAGATGCCGATTCAAAACGAGCATCTACTGTTATGGTCGACGTTGCTTTATGAACACTTTTTTACATAATTACGTTAAATACCATTTTTGCAGGATGCGCCCCCTTATTGAGTGTATTTTGTGTCATTTTTGATCCCTCGATTTTTTACTCGTGCAATATGTAATTCATGTAACTTCTTTTCAATCTTTCATTCAATTTTTCTTTCAACAAATGATCAAAGATACCTGCCATTTCACTGGCCTACGAGCAAGCCGAATCCGACATCATGAAAAGGAAGCCACGCAATCCATGGAAAGATAACCTCGTCAACGAAAGGTTTTATCGTAAAATAATCTTTTTGATTTTCAGTAGACTTGCCAGTGAAAAGTACGGCAGATCGCACGTATTATGTACGAGCGTATGATTCTTACATTACATCACGTATCATTGAGCCCCTCCCTTTTTTTTAGCCAATACGTACTGATTAATTTTATTGTATTCTTTCGCAAAATTTAACAACAAGAGCACTTAAATCTAACAAAATTGATTGAGTAAAGTAAACAAGTAAGATGCCCAAAGCTCCTTATTTTATCAACTGTAATCGCTCGACCAAGTAGACACGTTTAGGGCGGAACTTTGGAGTGCAGCAGTAGCAGCGACAGCACCGCCGACTATGGATCGATGTTGTGCTATATCGACTCGTATATATGCACGCATTCATTCTTCTACTATTCAGCTGATCTTACTTTTTTAAAATTTCATCGACGAGGCATCAGATTTAATTTTGAAGACACATATAATAATATTATATAATTAAGCCATTAGTTAGATTAAGTTTACATTAAGGAAATTCGTAAAAATTGATTTTGTTTTTTTTTATTAGACACTAATGTATATATTGCATTGAAAAATAATTCTACGCCAGTATACATTGTGTAGCATAATTTGATATGATAATTTGGATTATTCTTTGTCGAGGCGTTTTTGAATAAAAACTAAATTTCGTGTATATGCCATTATTGATTATAGACATATTAAATAGCACAGGTATAAATACAAAATCACGTTCGAAAAATCCATAAGTTGCAAGTAAATGTATGACGATTTCGGTTTTAAATTCGATCATTTACTTTTTTTATTTTGATTAAATGTTTCATTATATTTTATTTTTCAAACAAACATTATCATTTCAATTGCAATTTTTATGATTTCCGATCTTTATTTTTTATATATAAACAAGAAAAAAAGCAACAAACAAAGAATTTGTCAATTATTTTACTGAGCTGTGCTTGAAAATGTGACGTTAGGTGCCGGCCATCTCTCTAGCCTACGAGGAAGCGGAGAGCGATATTATGAAGCGTCAACCACGAAACCCCTTCACTGACAAGCTAGTTAACGAAAGGTAACACGATACCACGATCTCCAACGCGGTCTCTATATATCTCTTTCTCTTTCTATCTATATATATCTACTTTTTTACGCGTTGAGGCTCCTACTCTTTCCTCTAATAACAACAATAATGACAATAATAATAAAAATAATAATAATAATGCAATGAAAAAGCAAAGGGTAAAAAACTTGGTATACTTGAGTGGTTTCGAGTGCTCGTGCCACCTGCGAGAAGCAAAAATCTCGTTTGCCATTGCTGCAATATGCTATTTTATTAACGTACTTGGGAATTTACTTACACGAGCACAACTCAGCCTTATTTATAACTTCATTTTTTGTACAGTTCTGCTTCAATGATTTTGGCCATCAAAAACAAGCATTGCTACCAATTCCTAAATATTTTCAACGATATATTTGGCATATAATATTATACATTGGCACTCGTTACCACTTATTATACTTAAAAGAACCCTGTTGCTATGTTCGTCACATTGCCTTCTCACTTCATAAAACGTAACATTGATCAATCTACATCAGATTAAAAAGATCCTTTTGTGTACGTGAAAATATGAATTACTTAACTTGAATTACTTAACTTGAATATTCAATTTTATCTGTAGATATTGATATTTATGTTTCCTCGATTTAACAATTTATTTCGAATTTTGTAGTGACTTTTTCTTTAGTTAAAATAAAAAATATCCTTTCCAAAGGTTGATCATTGTTCGGAGAAGATTATATAATCAAGCAATTTGACGAACATGAAAAAAGTTGTCTCTTGTTGGATTGATCTTGACCTTTTACAATTTTCTATTGAGATTTTATTTTTTTTTTATTTATATACTTTGAATTATTTCAATGAACAATTTCTGCTTTCACGCGTTAAGCGCGCATCAACCTTTTTTCTTTGACGCTAATATCTCGCTCTTTTATATTATGGGAATGTGGATATCTTCTGTTTCATACCGGAAAAATATGGCTTCAAACTCTTATTTTCCAACCCATTGGGCTGCTGAAGCGAATCGTTCGACGATGAAAAAAGAATTAAATGAACATACCATCTATGAATATCATTACAAGAATTAAAAATGAAGCAAAATAATAATAAAAAAAGTCAGACGATTCGCAAAAGCGATAACAATATCGTGGGAAAAACACTTCACTTTTTCCTCTAAACGCAGAAGTTATTTTCGTAGAATAGGGAACTTTTTTAACTTGGTTATGGGTCTGTTACATAATATAATGCACGTAAATTAAGCGTCTGTGGTGATCTCTGTTTTCCATTGCAAAAGTTTGACAAACTTTTGTTAAAAAATACCTTGGGACTGATTTTTTTTGGTAATCATACTTGTTATCCACATATATATTATCTAATTGCTCCTTTTTCACTGACGCTCATATGTATATAAATTCTGAAATGTGTATTGAGTGTTTGTACGTCATGATCAACGAGCAATGATACTATTTTTATAAAACATATATATATGGGTATATATTTTTACACGTATATATCCATAAATATGTTTCTGCTGGGTGATTTGTACTGACTTTCCTCTTTCATGATTTATCTTCTTTGCTATAAAATGTTACTACTCTGTTGTATTTCCTACACACCTTTTGCTCTCCCTTACTCTTATGAGCATTGTTCGTCATTTGTCATTGTTGCGAAAGGTAAGCCGACCATCATGTATTTTAATTGTTTATTTTCTCTTGTTAGCTTAAATTATATACTGTTTATAAACTTTCTCAAGTATTTCATGCCCTCCGTTATTTACCATTATTATTTACGCAAAAATTCTATTTCGTTGCCAAAGTATTCAACTTACTTTTCTTCTGGACCCGAGTGATTCTTCTTTTTAATTATCATATAATAATTTTTTTGCAATTGCTTGAAATAAGTAAAGCATCTCATTCGTCGCATAATACAGAGCCATGAGTATTTTTACATTTGGTATTTTAAAATTACTCACTATACCAAAAGCTGCATGTTTCTTTTTTCATGTTTTTTTTTATCATAAATGATTTTTATAATTTGATTTTTTCATCTCATTAATACATCGCATTTATATGTGTATGTTTCCATGTGTATTTTAGTATTCATTTCAACATCACAAATTCCATTCCATATTCTCACGAAATTTAAATCTCTTTATATACAATTGAAATTGCATCTATAACAAGCCAATGCTATGAAATTATGAATGCATACTTCCAAGTGACTTTTTTTTGTCATTTATTTTCATATGCCAATGAATTTTTTTCGAATATATGCAAAAACAATTATCAGTTTTACTATTTCAAACACTTTTGATTAGATAATATGCACATAACTTTTTGAAATCTTTGCTTTAACTAAATTTTCAAACACATAATAGAGTGATTCGTTTCTAAAAATATCAAATTAATCAATAAAGCCAAAAAATGTTCACATACATAAGAGTGTCTTAAAATCAGAACCAGCATTAAATCTTCTTCATCAGAGCAGCATAAATCATCTTCATCGTCATTCGTTTTAACATTAAATTTTTTTGAACTTTCATGTATTAGACAATCGAACGTATTTCAATTCATTTCATCAGTCTGTGTGTGTTGTTGTCCATGAATTTCAATTCATTCGTTAATCTTTTTCGCATAGTTAAATAAATATAACCAGTTCTGTATATGTGTATATGAGAAAACAGTCATCACTGAGCCTATTGTTAATGTCCGCATTATACAGTACAGTAATGTTGTCAATTCCAATATCGCAGGCCTGCTTCGCCTTTACATACCGTATGTTGATACGGAAAGTTTTTCATGTAAAGTTGTCAACGAATTTTCATGATGTGATACTAGGCAGCGCAATTTTCTTGCAAGCAAAACATTTTAGATTGAAACATGTTAGATGAACGTGCACGTGTGTGAATAGGTAGGATTTGGTCAATTTTTTCGCGTATTTTTTTCTATTCTAATTTTTTATAAACGGAAACTCCAAGGTCTATGGAAAAACGTTGAAATCAAATTATTCCTTAAAACCCCATGCGAACGTGACGTCGCATTTTAAAGAAAAAATATTTTTGATAAAATTGTAGGTTACTTATCAATAAGTTCTCCTATTTTCATGTATTTAGAAAATTCATTAACATGTCATACTTTATATAGAATAGTAACAAGTTTATGATGTTATTCTGTGCGTCTATTACGTACATCGGTATATAGAATTAAACCATTTATAGTAGTTGATATATTATTATATTAAATTTTTATGATCCGATTCATATGTTCACCCTATGTATTTAATGGTAATTGAAACATTTGGACGTAATTGTAATTGGTGATACATTTACGTAGTATTTACATCGTAATGTTTATTGATTTTTAAGTGAGGTATGGACGTTAATCTCGTACAGAGTGCAAAAATGACGTTTAAAACTCTTGACTGATTATATAGTAAATAAAAAACATGTAGATCTATCTTCTATTAAATCTAACTAACTGGTATAAAACTTATAAGTGAACCGTCTCTGTCCATGTCTGACTCTGTGAATCTATGACTACTATTTTTTTTTTTTTATCAAATTCTCTGTCCCAGGACTGCAATTCATTAAAAGGGACAACGCTAATTCTTCACTAATAGTATTATTGAATCACTATACTATTATACTATTTTAAAGCTCAACAGCAGTCTGCAAGTAATGACAATTATCTCCTGGACACACGATGGATGCCACGATTTATGAAAAACTCTTTGCCATGCCCTGTTATATAACCCTTGATTACCTGAGATAACTTTTCTATTAATGCTAATCAGTGCTTTAACAGGCCTTGTTATTATTTTTCTCATAATCTATAGAGTATTTTAGTTTTGTGCTAAATCGCTTTATGCACAATTTATCAGATAATCTTTTTTAAGCTAGATCGTAGATAGATTTTATTTTAAAAATTTTCAATTTAACTTTTTACTGCAGAAGTAATTAAACATATTAAATTGAATAAATAGTATAAACTCCACTCCGGTATTCAAGGGTTAACTAATTTTTTATTATACACTACTTACAAATCTATATTTCTAAAATTTCGTCTGCACTTTTTGTCTCTGGTTTTCTGTTTCCTAAAAGCTAATCTGAAAGCTAAAAAATGTTACTTAACTGTTGAAAGGGTTTATTATGCTTTTAAAACTATCAATTACATGATAGCACTAACAGTACCAAGTCAAAGAGACGGATATCACAAATTTAAAAAAATAAAAATTATAAAATAGTTTATAGAATTAGACTTATAGAAATGTATTTAATTTAAAAAAATCGAGATGCTTTGCAGTAAATCAATTCAATTTCTTGCAAGCTAAGTAAATCTCGATTTTTAATTTCTTTATTACTTTTAATATTCTTACCACTATTTAGATTGATACCTACATGTATTTGATTTCACGTTGGACGCTGCGCTTTAATTTTTACAATACCTTTACCAATTTTATTAAAAAATATTAAAATTCACATCTTTTTTATTGCGTGAAACACTGATTGCTTCATAATGGCATCAATTAAGTCTTACTTCTTGCTTCAATTTTATACATATCTTCATAAATCTGTATAACTAAACAATTTTCTTGTGTAAAAAGTATATATTTGCTATATTTTAACTTAAATTGCTGTGACTTATCTCGGATCCAATTATTACGTACGCTCTAAGAGTCACTTGCTTTTTCTTACTATTCTCAAGTTTCATAATTCTCGAGTCTTGAAAAATTATCAACCTTGAGGTTTGTCCATGATAGCTTAGCGTTCAACAACAAAAACATATTCATTAATTGTGTATTTATATAAGGATCGAATCAATACTGCGTCCCTCTACTATTGTAACACTGATTAGTAATGAGTACAAACAATGTAATCAAAGCAACGGAGACAGACCCATACTCATTTACTGCACACAAATGAGTAATAATAAAACGACAATAGAAACGCTCAAAAATGACGATTTGCCTTTGATCGCAAAAATGGACGATGCAATATGCATACACATAATTACTGGCATACACACACTTACTCAAATACCTACATTAGGGATGAATTAGTTGACATTTTCAAATCTAATTCTCTTTCTTGACACGGGCTTAATACAGGTGCCGGCCATCTCGCTGGCCTACGAAGCACCGGAATCAGACATTATGAAACGGCAGCCTCGCGATCCTTACAGAGACAATCTTGTGAACAGAAGGTGGGTTTTCTCCCGCATCAAATTTACTGCAGCTCAACAAAAAAGACAAATTGAAAAAAAACAGCAATAACCCACTTGAAACTTGAGTGTTTTAACTTTTTGTTTTAACTGTCCTTTCACTACACTAGCACCTGGCACTTTTTTCTATTTATTAAACCTTAAATTTTTGACTGTGACATAGTACACGTGCAAGCCTATTTTTGATTTTGCACAAATTACAATATATGACTGCTTTTTGTGGGACAGAAAATTTTTTATTACATTTTGTAATCGATTGACAACTTATACACGTTACGTACACAAAAAGTGGCCTTGACAAAGTACATCATCAGTTCCTTAATGAATGACCATTTCTGAATAGAAATTGTATTAAAACTAGAAATTATTTAGTTTTAGAATTTATATTGTACATTTAAAATAATGACTTATCTTAAATGTAGCAATTTTTGATGCATTAAATTTTCAAGCCTCGTTTAGAAATTGCATAGAAAATTTAATTAAAAATTTTAAAAGTAACCAAATAAAAGATGTTTGTATATTGCAAAAAATAATTTCTATTCTGAACCCTTTAACAGTCACAGCTACGTTGTGTTATTATATTAAATTCTTTACGTCATTAAAATGCACTCTACCCGTTCGATTTTTTTCTTTTTTAATAAAATAAATCAATGACCTGACTGCGGGCACTGTTACGTAATATTGCACACACCGCACATGTCCCTCGCAACCGTCCATAAGTCACTAGGACTTATTAGAGAATTAGTCATGTAGTATATTTTAGAAAAACACTTAGATTTATTTGGTTACATATTTTTTTAACAAATCAATAGCTTGTCTTTAGTTGTTCAGTAACGTCACTTACCAGTAGAAAATATTATCTCTATTGACCTATTAGAGGTCTGTTGTTATGCGAATGCTGAATGCTTCTTCTTTCGTAGTATTACGTACACGTATACTTTTGATTAGGTATAATTTCATGTAAGCATCGTACTTTGCATATCACTTTGTCGTTCATTAAATACATAATCGTTACTTTGTTACTAATCAATGAAGACTAGGTGCATTTAATTGTAGTATGCGCGATCTCTATCAGAGATTGAAAAAATGGACAAAACCTGTCAATTAAATCAGATAAAAATGATTCGTAACATGAACATTGTTTTCATTATTGCTTTTCTGCGATTCGAGATTAATCGGGCAAAAGAACCATTTTTTTAACAATGTCTCAAAAAAATAACTGCACAAATAATCTTTGGCGAATCAAAGTTTATAACTGAATCACGAATAAATAAGGTAAAATTTTGTCCATAAATAATTGAGCAATTACAAATTTGTGTTATCTGAATCATCAAAAAGTATTTTTTTACTGCGTTAACGCGTTCGATTAATCAAAATATATCCCGTGACATTTCAATCGCATTATTTTATAGGTGGAAAATTTTTTAAATAGTCCTGTAGCTCATATTTGAGATACATTAAAAACACAAATATAATTATAGAGAGCTCGAAAGGAGCGTGGATCGGAAGTTGCGCGCTCTATCATTGGACGGACACGCGGTCAAGGTCGATATCTCGAGGGTGGAAAATCGATAGCTCGCGAATGACTGCACGGTTTTATGTACAAATTTTTAAAATAATTGTTGAATGCAACGATGGTGAGTTAGGCATGGGAAAATACCTACATGAAAAAATGGGAGCTTTTTTAACGTAAGCGGTCACAGTGCGATTGTATAAAACATTAGAAAACTGCATACTTGCACATTTTTAAGTGGATAATGTTTACCAAGCACTGTCATATTTATTTAATGCATCTTATATAGATTTATATTATGAATGGACCACTGCGTAATCCAAACTATGTTGAACAATTTTTTCACGCTTTCTCACGTGCACACTTTGATCTAGTCTAGATTTCAATAATTTTAAACTATTATTGAAAAAAAAGGAAAAAATTAAAAGTCAAATTTCTTTCTTATTTTAGCCTTTTTTATTTCTCGATTGGTTCTATCATTTAATCTTTTTTCTAAATCTATACGCCTTTATTATTGCTGTATCTTTGATCTTTATTAAAAGGCTTCATAGTTTTCTTTTATGCTTTATTTCATTTTTCTATCTCTAAAAGAAGTGGGTATCTATGGGTTTTATTTGCACATCATCTGCCTTGTATATATCATCATTGCAAAAAATTACCAATTCAACGGACGATGTCTCATGGAAGATTTTGAAAAATATAATTTTATGACTTGATTTAAATTCATATTCAAACACTTTAATTAAATCCATGAGTATTTCGTCTGAATTGTGCATGTTAATGCATGAAAACAGAAAACGTCGGTGCGACAACACAATTTAGATGTTTCTTGCGAAATGCCTCAAATGTCGTGACAATGCACGCGAGCAAATGGGGTAAGTAAGAAACCTGCAAATAACAATGACAAATCTCCTTGGCTTTGGCGAACCTTTTCGTGCTTCTTTACGTACAAATTTTTGTTATAAATATATAAATATAAGATAGACATACTAACCGATCCACCTTAGTTATAACAACTACTACGATATAGATCTTGACTATGTCTTAACAATAACTGTAAAAAAGCTTCTTCATTAAAAAAAATCTTTGAAGTTCTTCTTTCCTGCAAAACTTTCTTCTTTATTACTCTTTCAAATTAATTGAAAAAAATTTTAATTTCATTGCAACTTCAAAGATTGAATTTTTCACGCAAAAGAACACTTACGAGGCGTAACCCATTACTAAAACAATTCTACACTTCGCAGGCTCATTTCCATGGCATACGGTCAGATCGGTATGATCCAGGCGGCTGCAGGCTTCTTCGTGTACTTCGTCATCATGGCTGAGAATGGTTTCCTACCGAACCATCTCTTCGGTATCCGTAAGCAGTGGGACTCCAAAGCTATCAATGACTTGACGGACAGTTATGGTCAGGAATGGGTAAGTCGATTAAAATATGAAAAAATGTTATCTAACGTTTGCACCTCGACATTCTCGTGAAACTAAATGAACTTTAACCTTTTAGACTTTCCGAGATCGCAAAACGTTGGAATTCACCTGCCACACGGCCTTCTTCGTGTCCATTGTCATTGTACAATGGGCCGATTTGATCATTTGCAAGACCCGACGTAACTCCATTGTTCACCAAGGTATGAGAAACTGGGCCCTCAACTTCGGTCTTGTGTTCGAGACTGCCCTTGCCGCTTTCCTCAGCTACACGCCTGGTATGGACAAGGGTCTCAGAATGTTCCCGCTCAAGTACGTTATAATTAAATCAACGATTAATGACACAAGAAACTTTATCCCATTTTTTAACAAACGATTTTTTCTACCACAATAGATTCGTCTGGTGGTTGCCCGCCATTCCGTTCATGCTTGCTATCTTCATCTACGACGAAACGAGACGATTCTACCTTCGTCGAAACCCAGGGGGCTGGCTCGAGCAAGAAACTTACTATTAAAAAACTCGCGCCCGCACGCTACATACTATTAAATATATAACAAAAAAAAGTACATCATCATCAACACCGCTGCTGCTGCTGCCGCTTATCAATAAAACAAAAATGAAACAAACAAATGAAACGCGAGAGAGAGAAAAAGCCGACAGCAGACGTGCATTGCAAAAACCCACAAATGCTACTTTTATGAAAATACTGTACTTGCTGCTACATCCACAAACAGCAACGGCAGATTATCACATCGATTATTTTATTTCTGCTCTTTTTACACATCGCCATATTTTTGTCGATTGCTCGACGATGACAGACAATTTGATGCCGCTATTACTACTTCTACTACTATTATCTACCATTTCTTTTACATTTACTACTTCTGTGTGATCAATAACTCTGTAAACCAATGTTTAATGAGAAGAATACGTTTGTGCTCGTATATACAACTGTAGTGAACGTAAAAAGAAATTTTGTTAAAAATCGAACGTGCTTATAAGAACCAAGATTTATTAAAACACAAAATAGTGATAAAGCTCGCGTTTCGCCATAGATTTTACTACTATGTTCATCGAAATAATATAAGGACTGATTCGCTAAGTTTACAAGTGAATGAGAGAAAGAATAACTTTGAAATATGGATTGTTGAACTATGCGCGGAATCATAAAAATGATTAAAAAGAGCAAAAATTAAATTTGAACTAATAATGTTGATTCATCATTCTAGTATATATAAATAAGTATATATAATGTGGGTCACGCAGAAAGCTCTTCGTTTCGATACTCTACTCGATGGAGTTTCAACGACAAACTATTTCATAATGGTAACAAAAATGTTTGTTATATTACAATGTGCATTCAAAAGCAGAGAATGAACGATGTTGCGAGTGTCGTTCAACAAAAAACAAAAAAAAAGAAAGAAAGCATGCGAGCAACTGGCATGTATATAAGTATATATACACATGCACATCGTGTGCACTCATATATATTTATATATATCGTATTATGATAAATATTATATTACTGCGAGCGCAAGAGCGGGAGAGCAAGCGACAACGTGTGTGAAAGTTTTAAAGAAAACAAATAAATTATTATTATTACATTATGTGTAGCGAGCAAGTTATTAATGAATGCAAGAAGACGAGCGAATCATTTCTATAGAGATTTACGTAGAATGGCCTAACATGTCGAAGGCGTGTGTGTGGCAGTTAAAAATGTAATAAAAAAATCAGACGCTGTAAAACGAATCTCGGATTAAGTCGCGCGAGCAAATCAATAGCTTGGCTCGACAATCCTTGAGATTTGTTGAGGTCGGACCATCGGGCCCCAGAGTCTGTTGTTAGAACAGATTATTATGAAATTATAATTAAAATATCCATCAATTCACCCCTAAAAAGCATACAATAATAAGTGGTTCCGAGAACTCATGATAAAGTATGTTAAAACACCGGACTTGAAGATCTCAATCATGAGTTATTGCGGTTGATTGGCAAAATAAAATAAAATAAAAAACTTATATATTAACAACCACAGAATTCTTGAGAGAAATGCGCATTTTTCAGAATGATAATAATAGAAGAAATGAAGAAACTGTTGTTCGTTAGAGATACGCATTATCCGAAAACTACTTCTTCACAAAAACATTATAGTTAATGGAAGAGAAAATTTTTTTCGGAAAATTATTCATATTATTATATTATATACAAGATTTTCGCTGGTAGACAGATTGGCGCAGAACGCCAATTAGAAGGGCAGTTTGCTAATTTATGATATTATACATCGCAACTAAACAGATAACGTAACGTAGACTAATGATTAAAAAAAAAAGTAGCGCTGACGGAAAGCTCGATTTATTCAGGCGAAATAAAAAAAGTTACGAATCCAACAATGTTGGTGAATTTATCGGGCTATCATCAGCTATAAAACACAGGACTACATGCTGAGAAGTTGACACAGCCGTTTTGACTACAAAATTTAAAAGTGAATGTAAGAAAAAATAAAATAAACAACCTAAATGAGGACTTATACTATTCTTGAGCCCTAAAACAAGTAATATCTGTATTTAACAACTAAAGTGGGATGGCGAGTAACCGCTTAAACATCAGTTAATATTATCAATAAACCATCGATCTTTATATAAATATATAAATATATATATAATATAGACGAACTTATATTGATTATTATCAAACGAACAAAATTTAGGCGAGAAATAAAAATAAAATTAGATCGACACGCCCTTGTAGATGAAACAGAAGTGTATAACGTCAAAGGAAAAAACAATTAATAAGTAATAAATCTAACGAAGTAGCAAGATAATTACGTTTGCAGTATTCATTATATATTATTAATTAATTGATTAATGGAAAAGAAAAGAATGATGAAGAAAAGAAATATTAGTGATAGAACATCAATAAAAATAAAAACAAACATTCAAGTATAAAGTTATTATCCAATCGATTTGAGTCTTATCTGAGTAGTCGAAGCATCAGGTTGCAATGCATATTATACATGTATTCAAAATATAATTGAATTTTGGAACGTGCAAATTGAACGTTGAAAAATACACAGAACAGACGATGTACGAGCGGGAACGGAACGATTGTTCATCCTATGAATGGGAAATGGAAAGAAAAGGCATGGCAAGGATTTTCAGGAACGTAAAAGCGAAGAAAGACGGACACGAAGTTGGATAGTATATAAATATTTAGCGCTTAAAAAAGACAACTCTACCAACTAAGAAGAATTTAATTAAATTAAATAATAAAAATTGAAAAAAAAAAGAAAAAACAAGTTATTTAATTAATGCGCGAGCGATTCCTAGAATGAACTGTGCATTTGGGTAAATTGTGAGCATATAAAAAATATACGAAAATATGTCATTAAAAAGTCTATGAGATTTGTTTAAGTTGATTCATTAATAATTAAGCGTTGTTCGTATATATACATTAAATGAGCGGCAGGTGAATAGTGAAAAACAATGTTATTGATTACGCGTGATGGTATATTATTTGAAAGTTAAATACGAAAAAGTAATTAAAAATTGCTAATGGCGCAATGAGTAGACATTTTATTTGGCAATTTGATTTTCTAAATCAACGCGAGTTTCACGTCGAGTTACTAATTGCATACGCATAAAAAATAAAAGTAAAATTGACCGATTCACAGATTAATCTCGAACGATGAAGTTGCCGTTTTATTGGTGAAAAATGAGATTGAGTTTTCATTAAAGCTAATCAGAATGAAAGAATATAAGATGAAACTTAAATTTCAAGAACCAAAAAACGAGATAAAAACAAAAAGAAATTATACATTACAATATTTTATGAATAATTATGCAGAAATCACGAGCAAAAGCAAGAAAAAATCGTGCTGTTAAGCGTACATATTGAATATACATAATATTGTCTACATTATTTCCTAGTTTCGACTCCTCTTTTTACATACTTGATTATTGTTATAATTTTAATACCTGTTACATGTATAGTTTGAGCATCGCTTATCGGCTACAAGTATAAATATATAAAATAAAAAAATTTTCAAAAAATACGAAAAAAACGTGGCTATAAATGAAACAACAGCGGTAACGATTATCAAAAATCCAGATACAAGGCATATATAAAAATAGAAAAATGTAGAGAGCACCCGCGTGGAGCGCCGAATACCCTGTGTGGTCTCACCGTGGTCTGTATAATGCGAGAAGTAAATAAATTCCAACGACAAAACTAACGGACGTACGATCATTTTTCGTGTAATGCCTGCCACCGTATCAATAAAAACAAAACCAAATAAACAAAACCAACAAAACTAACAAAAAAACTATTGTCTACCGTGACTTGGCGCGCGATCGCGCACATAACTTCTCTCTGTCAAGGAGCTGTAAACTCAACAACGATCGAACTCGTGAAAATCGTGGATAGTTGCGGGGCAGCGCCTTAAAGTGTTCAGTTGGTAACTGCGACTGTTATTATATATATAAAGAAAAAACAAAGCGATGATGAAAAAGCGAAACGTGTAGCATCGCGCGAAAAACAAATCGACTTGTCTCTTGCAGCGGGTCGGAGCCAGCGGAGCGATGCGTTTTTCTCTCGACGCATTAACGAGTTGTACGCAGAGGCGAACCATTTGGACACCAAGAATGAGACTTAGAAAACATACTTTGCTACGGCAACGATCGGACGTATTCACTGAGAAGAACGACCAACGAACCTTTTTCGTACGCAAATTTAAGTAAAAAAAAGTAGATAAGTAAACGATATCCAATTAGCGAATTTAAGCTGAAAAATAATTGGAACGAAGAAGCATATCGGTAATTTCTTCGACAGGAGATACCGCCAGGCTCGCTGCGGTAGCTCAGTCTTGGCCATGTTTTGTCAGTCAGCATTCGAGGATTCGGTTGTAAAATTTTCCGGGATTGCGCCTCGGTCTTTGTAACGTCGTGCCCTCCCCGTCTTGACAGAGTATATTTGTATATCATACGGATAGTGCTCGGCTCCACGAGCTCTAGGATTCCTTACATAAAAGTAAAGCAAATAAATTGTAGCATATATACATAGGCGATGACGATTGAAGATATGATATCAGTAAAACATATAACTACTATCCTCTATATCGATATAAGAAAAAAAAACTTATTTAATCTCTAATACTTCTCTAATGACGCTTTGTCAAATCATGTATACTCGTTGGGTCGTGGCAACTTGACCTACGTCGAAACTCTAATTTGGTTCGCAGCGAGGCGCAATTTCCGTTCGATTTTCATCTCACAGACACGGATGGTACTCAGCTAGCTCGATCCTCGAAGCTATTCGCTTTTCCTCGATCTCTCCCTCACTGTCATCCGCGCTCGATGCAAAATCGCTTTGAATATTATCATAGCCAAGTAGAGTAATTACAAAAAGAGGCATCGAGGTAGCAAAAAAGAAGCCGCTGACAGTGAGAGACAGTGTAAGAGATAAAGACATAAATGAGCTGCGGCATATATTTCTCGCTCGCGGAACATCGTACGACGCGCAACCACCGAAAACCCAACATCCTATGCGTGCTCGGTACCGAATTCACGAGCCACGCGCACTCGCGCGAACAGCTCCGGAGCTCAGCGTAAATGCTCGCGGTACCAGAAGCCAAAAAAAAAAAAAAAGGAAGAAGTACCAACTCGTCCCGGAACGATCGAGAGAAAAACGCGTCGCATTTTTGCAACATCGCATCTTGTAAAATCCACTCACACAATAAATCGCTCTCCATTCGAAATCGATTCTTATATATATTATATGAAAAATATACGATACGATTTTAAGACTATAATAGGTATACTCTCGTTCATTCTGTAGATTTATTGCGACGACGATGAAGAAAAATAATAAATGAAAAAAAATCACCAAGATCAAAAAAGTAACGTACACAATATATTAATTATTAACGTAATCATAATAAAAAACGAGAATAATGTGGTGTGCAACGAAAGATTGAGATTACTACAATACAATACTTGATATGATAATTGTCATTATAATTACGATATGCACGAGTTTACGAATGATTGTTGTGTCATTGTTAATAATTGCAAATTTAAATACTATAATAACGGTACGTACGAAACGCATTTGTTTGTCTCAACTTTGTGAGTCTTTTCGTTCTCGTTTTTTTTCTATCAATTTGTTTAATTTTTTTGTAAAATCGCGTAAGATAACTACTCATACATATATAACACACACATCTACACACACACGCGTACTGTACGAAAGGGTGTGCCTATTATACACCGACTCATCATCATAATTAATATATCGAGAAACATCGGGAACCGCCGCGGATGTAAATTTTTCAGTTCTTTTCCCCGTCACACATGCACAGGGTGTTCGTGCGAGCCCCGGTCGCGCGTAAAAACGCATTATTATTCATAAATTTATCCCTGCGCCATCGTATTAACTGACCTTTTACGCGATTATTACTCTACGATAGAATAGAAAGCAGTCTTATACATACATACATTATGAATGAAAAATAAAATAAAATGAAATAAATTTGAAATGTATATCTTTCACCGCGGCGATGCTAGAAGTTTAATATATTGAACAAATGTAGAGATTATTATATGATAATAGTATACCCGTTGTTATTCTGTGTAATCACGCAAAAAAACGCCAGTATATAATGAGAAAAACGACAACAAAATGAATTATTATTATGATTAATTATTATCACCTAGCTCCTACCTATTTATTACTCTCATCATCATTTATTATTATAACATGAACGTTATAAAAATGCTTTTTTGCCATCGTTTGCCGCCTTTTAAAGTCATTCAGAAAAAAAAACTGAATTATACGACAAAGCAGTTAAATGATAAAAGAAAAATAAAACGTAGCACATCCAAACACAACAAAAACAATGGTTTTGGCTAATATTAAAGCGATGAATCGCTCACTAAAAAATTACCACGATTCAAGAAAAAAAAATTAATAACTTTCAATAATAATGATGCATGAAGGACAAGACACGAAACACCGAATTTACACGCATATTCACACAGCTCTCCCAACACACACTTTAAACATAAACAATTTACAATTAAATGAAAAAAAAGATGATTACGTGTTAACAAGTAAGATATTATTAGATGTAATTATTATATATGGGTTTAGTTTAGTATATCGTGTTGTTGATGAATAAAAAAAAAGAAAAACAAATTACAGATTAAAACAAACGAATAATAAAATTAAGTAAGATTAAAAAAAAACCATTGATATGCTGATGAAACGTATGTACTTGCGATACACGCGACAAAGTAACGACGAAAGCAGTAGTAAAAGGTAAAGAAGTATATTAAGAGCAGCGAGTGTGCGTTCGGATAAAAAGAAACAAATCGTGAAGAGCCAAGTGACGAAGAGTACAACTTGATCGTGTCTCTGAAATCAAGGGATAGGGTGTGAATGTTGAGCGGGATGGACTTTAACTGGTTATTATATGATCAACTACGATCATTTGTAACTCGAGATCTTTACGCCACAACTTAATTTCATTTTTTTTTTCTTTTACCTCTAACTCTAATATATTTGTAAAGCTTAATATTCTGAAAGCACGTATTGAAAAAAATCTTTTAACGATTTGTTTTACTCGATATTTTTTCAAATTGCGCAGGTCTTTTTTTTAATTTGAGAAAAAAAAACCCTTCTTCAAGGCTCGTAATTATTCCTTCGATTGGAGTTAGAATTGAATCATATGAACCTGACGTTTGACTGCAAACGAAAACCTCATGCGAATATGGAATGATTTTTTAACGTAGAAACAAACGTCACGCGTGCCTTGTATAATTGTCTCATTGAGATTTTTTATACGTGGATAAAAAGCAAATTGCTTAAAGCTTTTAATCAACCGTGGCGTATGATCTGAATTTAAAAAAATCGCAGCTCATTGTGTAAAAATGGTACATCGTACGACGAGCTACAAGAAAGAGAACTAAACGATCGCGGCTAAAACGATTGGGACGTTGAATGAAGTACGGTGCGAGATAAAGACATTTTATTAATATTGTACATATTTTAAATATAACCACAATGAATCTGGACGTGAGTCGATGAAAACGCGGATAAGCAATTTAAAAAGAGGGTACGTGATTGATAAAAAGAAGGGCAAAAGGTAAAGAACTGCAACGCACTCGAGAGCGCAGCTTTTCTTTCGCTTGACTAATCCAAGCTCGCTGTGTAAAAATTGTCCCACGAAGCGCTCCTTAACATTCGATAGCTCCGACCTCGCTTGCATTAGGCCATATGCAAAATCGCCAACGAGCATACGACTAATGTGGTAGCGATACTCGGAGCTCTGGAATATTGGGGAGAAAAAGTCTTCGGAGACTAAAAAGATTTCACGCGAGAAATGCGCCACTATGCATTTAGGAAGACGACGAGCGCTCCGAGGGAAAAATGCGCAATGTGCAGTAGTTTGCGAGAGATTGCGTTGTGTGACTTAAAATCGAAACGAGAGAGAGATCGTGGGAGAATAACTCGAGGATTAAACGATGGCAAGAAAAATAAACATTAATAAAAATCACGTACACACTGCTCTATATACCCAACAAAACTCTTTATAATTTCTGATTGACTATTCCTTTCGTATGATTACTATAAAGATAAGTTCAGTTTTCACACGCGAATTAAATTAAGGTAAAACAAAAAAAAATTAAATAATAAAGAAACAAACAAAAAAAATTAATAAATAAATGAAAAATGAAATGAACAAACGAGAGACATTGTCCAACCCAAGTGTCATTACTTTTGATGTTAAATAAAAAATACATAATTGAAAAAAAAGAACATAACAACGTAGCATGTGTGCTATGTTTTCTTCAATGAGCCTTGACACTCATTATCCTACGTTCCTGAATCTAATTTTTTATCAGTTTCTTTTAATTTTATTTGAAAATTAGTCGTATAATGCAGTGGCACCCAGTAACGGCAACAGGTACGTATGTTAACTTGGTTTTTAAAATCTATTTCATCTGGATGGACATAACTATTCATGAAATTCTAATAATAAATACAATATCTAAGGTATATAGAAAGAAAGGAGATTTTTATAATATATTTTCTTATATTTCATATATCTTATAGTAAATCCAAATAATCTAAATTTGATAACAATATTAAAAAATATTACCCAATTATAAAATCACACAATTATAAATTTGTTTTACAATATACACACAGCGTAACCATTTATTCTTTAATACTATTCAAAATACTCAAGCTATTGTCTCTTAGTTTTATCTTAAACCTTATTTACAGCTTTTTTAAAATCTCTGTCTTTAGCTCGATCCTTTTTGCGCAGCCTTTTAATGTGCTTTTTTAATTGTCCAGTATTTTTGAGTTCTTCAAATTGATGAACCAAATCCAGCACTTTCTTTTCAGCTGAAAATGTAAAATTAATTAAGTATTATTTTCACTGAACTTTGAGAGTAAATTTCAAAACAGAATAAAAACTTACATTTTTTCTTGAAATTAGGTTTCTTTCCTTGTTTAATGGCTTCAGCGATTTCATGCTTTTCCTGATGCACTTTTTCTTCTTTATTTTCTCTTCTTTTCTGTTCTCTTATTTGATTTTCTAGCCTTTGAATGAGATATTTAATTTTTTTGACTTGCTCTGGATCTGTTTCAGTTTTTGATTTTTCCTTCAATTGCACCAAATCTTGTTGTTTAAGATCATCGAGAAATGCGTATGCATTCTTGAACGCTTTTTCATTAAATTTTCCACAAAGATTGTCGAATCTTGGGTCCCTCACTTCTCTTTTTGGAGCCGAAATTGCTCGAAATTGAGACACTGGCTTTTTGGATGACACTTCCAAAGGTGCATTTTTACTTCTTTTTGCCGTTGCTTGATTTGCGATCGACATGGTGAGAAAATAAATTTGTTGATTAATTCATACGCGGCGTGGTGAAAATTACTGATTGATTGAATAAAGGTTAAGTTGTGATTGCCGACTGCGCCGCTTAATAGTCTGCTAGTCTTGTCTGCTGCAGAGCAGTGCTGCTTGTAACGGCCAGTTACACCAACTGTTCGTTGGGGGGCCAATTTAAAATTATTTTGTTTTGTTATTTTGTTATCGATAAAATAATTCATATCTTTTTTTATATTTATTTTTTTCTATATCTCTCTAATGATTCATGAGCTACAAATATATTGTTATCAAAAAGTTTGTGAAATGAAAATTCTTGTAATTTAAAATCCCTATCTTTAGAGGCTCAAATAGGAAGTTTGATTCATTATAATTGATTCGGAGGGTAATTTTGGCTTTTCAAATTCTATTTGAATTTGACTAATGCCTAGGCATAAGTATAAAAATAATGTCTAAATCGTAATGAATTGTTTGAAGATTTGTGTGGTCTTCGATGCAAGTGCGCTGAAATTCCGTTCGTTCTATGGTGGCGCTGTTTTCGGCGCACAGTGTCTGTTTTAGAAAAGGTTCGATGCAGCGTTATTTCAATAGATATAGATATATCACGTGCGTGTAAAGACAGTGCAGTGCCAAAAGATCATATTTTACTCAAGTTTTATAATTAATTTAACAATAAACCAAGCAAAATGGCAGGAGTTCTATTTGAGGACATTTTTAATGTGAAAGACATCGACCCAGAGGGGAAAAAATTTGACAGAGGTACGTTTTAAATCACTTTTATCATAAACTTTTTGAGTTTTGACGCTTCATATGAAGCCGGCAAAGGCACGTGTTTAACGCGATTGACGTTTTATGTTTTTAGCATGTTTACATAACGGTTTAAACTTTGTCTGTCCAACTATTTTAAATATTAAAATATTCATTTGTTACTGTTTATACAATAACTACATTGAAGGTTATGAATTACATGAAACTCATTTTACAATTATTTATCTTGTCTGAATGACATGTAATATTTTGTCATAACCTTGAATTATTTTATTTTGTTTTTTTTTTGAGGGATTAAAATTAAAACTAAACTTTAATTTTGTTTCAAATTTGTAATTATGAAATCTTCAAAAGTTTTAATTTACAACTTGCTTACTACTATAGCTATAATTTTCTGAAAGCGTTCATATGAATACTTTTTCTATAGCTATTTTGGTATTATTCTTTTTTTATCAATGTTTAACTAGACAATAATCAAGTAAAATCTATGGACTTTGATCTATGGTTTTTTGGTTTATTTTATGTGTACAAGTACTTCAGTCAGTCAGCTGTAAATTATAATTTATTATGGAAGTTACTCAAAATGCTATTTCATTTAAATGGTTTTGGCGTTGAGAAAATTATAAATGTTTTAACAACTTTTTGCTAAGTTATGCTTATTTGTTTCAAGTTGTTAGAACTTCTTAATTAAAATTGATGCAGTTTCAAATGTGTAATTTAGAGTTTGGCGTACAATAATATGATATAGGTTCATTTTTTTATGAAAAATTATTTCTGAAAATTGATTGATGAGCGCTTTTTATATAATTCCATAATATTATATGCATTTCCCCAGTTTTCCATCATAAAAGGTACAATTTTACAAACAATAATGTAAATAGATTCTATAAATATTACTATAATTGAGGTACAATTGTGGAATTATTTATATGCATTAAAATTTAATGAAAAGTTCTATTAAGCTAATAAGAATTGCATACTGTCTAGCATTATTAAAGTAAAAAGTTCCAAACTCATTGAATTAATACTTTATTTAATTTGAATACTGGTCTTATAAAAATTGAAAGTACATTATCATTATCAACAACAAACACAGCTACATTTGTGTGACTTGAATATACTTTTTAAATTATATAATCATAAAATTAAAATGCTTTGAAAGTATTTCTCTAATAGTCATCTATAATTTTAATATAATTGAGGTAATTTTTAAAGCATTTTATAATTACGACTACAATTAATTTGTCTTTTTATATTCTAATTAGTCTGAAAATATGAGAAAAAGTGAATAAATAATTCAATTTAGAAAAACTGAATTCATGCAAAACACTTTCTTTCCGCGTCAATCTTAGTGATTAAAGGAGGAGCTTGGAGCTGCTGAATAGGGTAGAAATGAGGAGAGAGAGAAAGTGATCGATGCAGCAGCGGTTCCAGCTGCAGTGGGGGAGATTCCTAAAGGGGAAGGTAACATTCGATAGCAAAAGAGTTGTGCTGTATACTGGAGAGCGAGATAAACGCATGAGAGAGAAAGAGAAAAAGAGAGAAGGTCGAAGGATCAAGCGGTGAGTTTTTGGTCGCTGGGAGGGGATGCCTGAGCAAAGGGATGACGTTGTAGCGGTCAAGGTCAACCGCCAAGGTCGCGTTCTGCACCTCTCTTGACTATTTATGCCCTTGCAGACTCCTCGTGGACTCAAGTATACGTAAATTCCCACGCACACGCACTCGCGGATGAGTCGCTTTTGGCACGTACGGATCTCTCGAGGGTACATCAAAAGGAAAATCATGCATTCCAACAAAGAGATGCTGAAAGCTTGTATAACACAAAATGACAGATTGTGAGAGTAGTTGAAAGTAAATTATAGCAAACGCATGATCATCTGCTCCTACTGATTTGAGCTTTAACAGCCACGTGGGCAGTATGACCATGATTGATTATGTACATTGAAAAAACCTCAGATTAAATATCCAATAAAATGATGCATGACGTGTGCCTCTCGCTTGTAGAACTAAAAATACAGAAAATCAATTTTGTTCAATGAGACGAGCTTTTAGATATAATCTATTATTGACACTCGTTAAAAATTTATAGACATCGACAAAGTAAAAGCTCAGCCCTCGCGTATTATCGTAATATTGTTCGAAGACCTTGAAATTATTTGCAAATTCAAGTCATCTTTATAACGAAAAAAATCTTCAGCTATATATTTTGTTCGCGCAGGAATAGTGAGTTGTGTCTTTGTCACAATTTTGGTCGTGTTCAAGATTTTAATCCTTCGCAATGAGTGCGATGGCAGCTGTTGAACGCATAAATCATGCTTGGCGAAAAGTACAGGTGCAATGTGGGTTTATGCTTAATAGCACCTTCCCCGCTTTTTTGACTTCTGACGATGATGAGAAGTTACCTCATATATAATATGTGTGTTTGTATCACGTGTGCATGCAATGCTAAGCCGAATTTCTAGGAAGTACAGGTGAAGTCATACGATGGCAGTGCGCCTATGTGTCTGAAAAAGGGATGATACGCCTATAAGTTTTTTGTTTGTTTAAGTATCTGGCCACTTTGCGTGAAAACACAAGTAAATACTCTGGCTTTTGCAACATTTTTTTCCAAAGTATTTTGCCGAAATAATATAATTTTATAATTTTTTTATCATTATGAAGTCATAACTAAAGTTATATACTTTTTAATGTCTTTTTTTCTTCTGGAAAATCAATTTATTAACAGTCAAAAAGAACAACTATTTGTTATCTACTTCAAAGAAATTGAATGGTTTACTGCAAAAAAAAAAATTAATGTCCTTGAATGGTAATTCTTTGGCCTGAATACACTTTTTGCTCGAGCTATAAAGTATTTCGTCACTCCAAATATTTCAATTTTGTTGACGTAAAAACTGCACCTTGTTATTATCTTTTGATTTGCCATCATAATAGAATTGAATTTAATAGTTTTATAAAATATATAATGAACTCTTCCTCCCTCAACAGCAGCAGCAACTACAGCTAGCTAGCCAGCTAGCTAGAAATCAGGACCTCGGTGAAGGTCACTGCGGCTCTTTTCTCTCCTCGTTTTGCTATGCGAATATCAAATCACTAGCTATATACGTTTTAATTCTTTTCTCTCTTATGCGGTTTTTAAGTAGCTGTGAAAACTTATTTTGAAATTCGTTTGATAATTTATCTTATAAAAAAACTAGGCATTATTCCAAAAGTTCATAATCCATGTATTTAAAATCAAAGACGATTCGTCCCAATAATTTAACTCTTCTATTCTCAGTAATTTATTTCCTGAGCGATAATGCCTCTCATGAAGCTGGATAGTAATTGTCAATCACACGAAAGCACTAATGAAATTTGAAATAATGCATAACGGCATTGAATTCATTGGTCGAATTTCGAGAATATAGCACGAAATTAATAAAATTATTAATACATATTATTAATATTATTTTTGTTTACGGTACATCGTTTAAAATTGGGGTTCGTATTTAGTTAATATACCTCGTAGAGCAAAAAATTCCTATTGCAAATAAAAGAAGAAAGGGAAGAAGGCATTACGAAGTCGAAGTCGCCTCTCGCACTCTCCCTTTTTCTCTCAAACCTTCCAAAAAAGTGAATCACTCCTACGATATATATACCAATTCTGCTGAGCAGCCAAAAAAGAAATTCGCTCGTTCATCCTTTGTTCGCGACCGACCATATCTCTCTGGGTATATATACTTTATATACATACTGCTGGCCATATGCGAGACACACACGCAGAGCCGTTGCACTGCATTTCTGAAAAAAAGAGCGAAAAAAATAACGAAAATCAACCGCTAAAACGAAGAATAAGAGAGAAAAAAAGAAGAAAGCTCATCGCCAACGAGAAGACCTAATGCACGTAGAATTCGCGTATAGATATATAGGTCCTGGCAAAGCTGCGAAGCTGAAATTTGGCAACAACGCTCAGACACGTGTCGTTTGCGTGAGAGATAGAACGAGAGCGAGTGAGAGAGAGAGAGAGAGAGAGAGAGAAAAGTGTATTTATACGTGTGCGTGTGTATGCGAGTGGATATGCGTGTAAGCGTAAGGGCTTGCACACACGTGTACTGCGAATTCCCCTTTGGAATATACACGCGTATGTGTGGATTGGCACTACTCGCACTGCACACGCATATAGTCGGGTTTGAGAGACGCGCTCGCTCGATGCAGGATATACTGGTTTCGCACGCGCTCCCGCGTTGCAGTTCCTTCTGTAGTGCCTACATAACGTCGCTCTGCACATACGTATATGCGCCTATATATATGCGTGCCTCATAGCCCTTGTGGATTGGTATATGGTAGCCTTTATAAGTGTATATGTGTTACACTAGAGGGGCTGCCCTGCGTGGTAATTTCTTCTTTTTTTTCTCCTTTTGCACACGCACACACACACACACACACACGAGTGAATCGCAGAGCGCGACCTACATTTCGTTTATTCGCGTTCTGCATTAAAACGCTCCTGCTCCTGAGCTGCTTTGTGTGCTCTTTCTCTCTCTCATGTATATGCAGATTAAGGGGTACCGCATTAGAAAGAGAGCCTGGATGAAAGCACGCACACAAATGTGTCCAACTGGTTGTATATATGTGTGCGTTTTAACAATAGCTACCGTATTGATGTTGAGCGATGATGAGAATATTAGTTTTCTCAGTTTTTTTTTTCATTTAACTGATATGTCGACCAGGGGGAGGGAGGGGGGAGGCAAAACTATGCGAGCGTATATATTATACACGCAGACCACACACTCGTACCGATGATATGCTACGAACTTTTTATATGTTCTACGCTTATCCAATTCGTCGCACGTGCGATATTTTTTCATTAACTTTGCTCGCGTGCACCTATACGTATATGCATCGACCTTTACCATAAAAATTTCCGATACCTATAAAATCGCTTCATCGCCTGTGAATTGTATTTGTCTATAAGTTGTTATTAGTTTTAAATGCGCTCCAATTCATCCGCGCTA